ACCGCCTCCTTCCCCGTCCTAACTTATATAGCCCCTGTGACCTCATTCACCTGGGCCAGCGGAGGTCAGCCCCCAGTTGGCTGTCAGCCAACCAATCTGAAATGCATCACCAGTTACCGGGCAATTTCCAGCTCCCCAGGTAGATGCCCCTCACCCAGGTACCAGTCACGTAAGCAGAGGGAGCAGGTTTCCCCCTCCCTCAGGAATGCAGCCAGCTCAAGTTCCCTAAAGTGACAGGCTGAGGGTGTGGTCCCCTGTGTGCTGGGCCCACCCTAATTGAATGGTCACAGCACAGAGATTTAAATCACAGTGTCACAGGGCAGAGATTTTTGGGGAGAAACCAAGGTGGCTTTCTGCCACACACCTTACCTCCCACCCACAACCTCCTGGCCCCCAATCCCTGCCAGAGGGGGACTCCAGCTGCCAGGGCTATGGACCTGGGTCCACATCCCCCTTCCCCCAGCAGGAGGCAGCAGCTGCTGCAGTGGAGTGAAGCCCGGCTCCCCACTTGCTGCTGCTGCTGCCCGCTGGGGCATGGGGGGGTGGGGTCAGCTCCCCAGTGCAGAGTGCAGTCCCGGAGGGGAAGCAGGGGACCCGCACCCCCCAGACCCATGCACAAAGTAGGGGTAGGTGTGGGCAGTGAGGGCAGTGGCACCGGGTCATGCCCCTCAAAGCTACTGCACCCGTGGCCCCATCCCATTCCCTGCCGGGACCCCAGCCCTAGCCAACTCCCTCCCTCCCTATGGGGGATCAACCCCTGCCCCCCATTTACCTGTGGGAGCTACTCTCCAGACTGCCCAGACCCATAAGCACGGCCCCAGGAAATGCATATGGCCTGGCCACAACGCATACACGCACATGGCACCCTCTGCCTAACCACCCTCCTCCCACTCCCTCCCGGCCCCCTGCAGGCTGGAACTCTGCCAGCCTGCAGAGAGCTCCTCATGAAACTGCAAAATCCCCAGGTTTCTCAGTAAAACAATTCCAAAAGCCAAAAATCGTGATTCCAATAGGAGCAATTTTTGTATGTAATATGCAAATAGCTTTGGTTTTCCCATATTGATTCAAATAAGTGGCTGATTCTATTAACCAGCAATTCTATAAAGTAGAATCTACTGTACTAATTAATATTTGTATGCCTAGTCCATATCTCTAAGCTCTCTCTCATGTCAAATTAGCTTCACCTAACCACTAAATGTACTTTACCAGGAAATGACTTAGTGAGACATTTAACCTTTTTTCCCCCCCAAGTCACTTGCCTTAACATTTCTGAAGTGGTTCATACTTTGTGACCTCCTCCTGTCTGATAATTTCCTTCATCTCTTCTTCTCTTACCCAAACTTTGGTGAAGCAAATACTATTCTATATTGGCATTAAGCAACTTAAGACCTATTATAGTCTACACCAGATGTGGCAAAATACAGCCTGATGATCAACTGTATCCAGCCCTCCGCTGCCCCCTCAGCACTCAGAATGGGGCTGAGCCCTGCCCACTCCTGCCCAGGGCAGCCTGTGCTGCACTCCCCTCCCCTCCGGGACCTCAGTGCTTCCCCGACTATTCTTCTTAGCTCATTGAA